GTTTATTTTTCTTGTTGCTGTTGTCAATTTTCTACAAGTGAACACTTACTGCTGTCTGATATGTGTAGCTCGGCTTGTCAACTTCCTTGTCAGTTTCAGCTGTCAAAAGGCACCATGAAGTAGAATTGGATTGATAAGGCTTATTTGTGTGCAATTCCTAGGTTCCAATTTCCAAGCTGTCAATTGAAAAGTGTTAATGAACAGCAAGAAAAGCAGCAAATGACAGCATACTTGCATGCAGGAAGCGGGGGCGGGGCAGGGTGGGTTATCTTTCCTCTATCAATCTAATTTTCTCACCTTTAACTGCTAAACTGAAAAACTTCAGTGCTCTCCACCATTTTTACACTTCCCCAGGCTGTCACCTACTTCAGAAAGGGGAGGTATTAACTAACCCCCACTTTTCAGACCACTAACTGCTACATTTCACTGATAGTTAAATCAGGTTGCATTGTCTGCAAATATAATCTCTGGAAATGAATGGGGGAGAAAGTGCCCCAATTTAATGCTGGGCAATAATTGTTGGGAACTATAGGCCAGTCAGTCTAATGTCAATCACTGGGAAATTACTGGAGCAAATAATTAAAAAATCAATCTGTATGCACCTTGAAGAAAATAACAGAAGCCAACACAGATTTCTTAAGAATAAGTCGTGCCAAACTAATCTAATGTTCGACTGGGTTGCCACCCAAAAGGACAGAGGAAAGGTAGTGGACATAATTTATCTAGACATTAGCAAAGGCTTCAACAAAGTGCCCCATATCATCCTAATAATTAGCAAAATATGGGCTTGACAGAACTACAATTGGGTGGATCCACAACTGGCTTCAAAACAGGTCACAGAGAGTGATCATCAGTGGTAGCTTCATAATCTGGAGAGAGGTAATGAATGATGAACCACAGGGCTCAGTCCTGGGGCCAGTGCTATTCAGCATCTTGATTTTTAACATTTTTATTAATTTTTCATCTAAAATACAAAAATACAACTAAAATAGAAACATATAAAATTAAACATACAGTTAAAATACTTCTTTAAAATACTGTGCCCCCCCCCCACCAGAACCATAGGTTATGAGTTCCAGATATAAAAACTCATTCAAACATTCTTTCAGGACATTTCCCCCTTCCAAAAGAGCAATGATTCCTTTGATGGTTCAAATTCTTTCCTTTTTTAAACACATAATAAATGCACTCTAAATCTCATTAAACTTATTTTTCTTTGTATTCTCCTTTCTCACTTTTATATTGTAGGTTAATTTATCATTAATAGCTGTATTCCAAAATTAATGATCTTAATGAGGAAATCCAAGGAATGATAACTAAATTTGTGAACAATACTAAACTGGTGGGAATAGCTAACACCCTGGAAGACAAAAAGAAGAGCCAGGGAGACCTAGACAACCATGAATGCTGAACAGCATTCAGTTTTGAGCACTCAGGTTTTAAAAGGATGCTTCTAATCTGTAGAGGGTTCAGAGGAAGGCAACAAAGATCACACAAAGCCTGGAAAATAAGTATTGTGATGAGAGGTTAGAAGAACTGGGTCTGTTCAGCCTTGAGAAAAGACTAGGAGGTGACTACGATTACTCTACAGGTACCTCAAAGCCTGTCACAAAGAAGAAAGAAAAGACAGAAAATCAGGTGCAAGCCAGACACAAGAAAGCATTTCCTAACTGTAAGGGCAGTAGGACAGTGGAAGCATTGCCAAGAGAGGTTGTGTGCTCTTCCACACTGGAGACTTTCAAGACAAAACTGGACAGTCATCTGAGTGGGATGCTGTAACTGGCATCCTGCACCACCAGAGGTTGGGACTCGATGGTCTTCTTGGCCCCTTCTGACTCTACTAGGCTATGATTCTATGAAGTAAGTGGAAGAGAAATTGTGTCCTTGCAGTAGCAGAGCAGTTAAGATATTTTCCATATCTTTCCCAGTCCTTGAATTTGCATACATTTTGCATTTAAAAAAACTGTCAAGAAATTCCAGTAACCACAGGATTAACACCTCTAAAAAGGATGTGTGAAAGTGGTGGTGGGGATTATCACCCCTTTCTAGACAGCCAGGGAAGTTTTGAAAAAGTGGACCATGGGAAGGATCAGTTCAACACTGAAGATGGACAGGATTGCATTGCCAAGGGGAAGATGGTGTATTCTCCCTCCCTTTTGGTGTGTTGACTTCTCCCACCTCCCCCAATCCATTTTTGTACTTCTGATTTCCATTATCAGGTCAATCTTTTCTTTTACAGTTATTGACCCCTGCTCTCTTGCAAATTAACCATTGGCAATCTTGTCTTGTCAATAACCTTTGTTCTGAGAAATCTTTGAATGTCTGAGTAACTCTAAACCAAGCATATAACTTGCACCCAACTGTGTAATCTGGCCTCCCCACAATTAATTTCACCCCAGCATTCCCCGGAGACCACTTTTTCCTTGCCACAACTAGCAGAGATGACAGAACAATTTCTGTCAGGATCACTCTGAGGGTGTGTTTGTTTGATACATACATGGAACCCCCAAACACTGCGGCAGCATCACACGCAGCCCTTGGCCCAAAAGAGCTTGAACCCTCACTGCTCTGAGCCAGTAGAAACTAGTATTTTAAAATTAAATTTCCTGGAAAGAATCTGTTTTGTTCAAACCTAACAACATTCTTGTTAAAAAGACATTAGGTCAGCCAAAGAGAAAGGTTATCTTGGCAAGTTCTGTATCTTGACTTTCAATTTTCACTCAAAGTGTGGCAATCAAAATGCAAATGACCCCAAATTATTATGTATTTATGGCATCATCAAGGTATATGGTGCTCAAATTAACTTCTTACTCTAGATGCTTGTCTACCCATTTGGAATGGATTTGAGTCTGACAAAAAGTTCTGCGATTTTCTGTTTGAAGCATACCTGCATTTTCATCGCATAATTTTGCGCTGTTTAACAGTCAACTGTAAATTAAAAATTCATTCCTCTCAAAATACAAGCATAAATTTAAATGCATTTTTTTTCTCAAAATACACATTAAAATGTATATTTTATACACTTAAATTACCCAGAACTGCATTAGTGTTCAGAGAGGCATGACAACTGATGGATAGTTAATTAGACACATTAGTCAGACAGAAGTAGATCAGGTAACCTAGTAGGGAATTTGCAGAGATTTAATTCTTCAAGTATCCCAAATTTTAATTGTCTTTTTACATACAATGGCCCAGAATTCCACTAGCTACATTCCTGTGTAAAGTTACAAGGGTTCTTTCTGGTATGTTGATCTCAGTGGGCAGGCTGCTTTTCCATGACACAGCCATTTCCCCCTCCACCACTTTAGGAGCTGCATATTCATAATGTTGCCCATGCTGTGCCATAGTTCATTATCATGGATTATGATAAAGAGCTAGCATCTTATTGAGCAACATGGTGTATCAGATGCTAGGACTTCTGGCTGACCACTATTGGAGCCACCAATGACTTTCTCAAACAGGTTTCATCTTACATACAGAATTTCTTAAGCAAGTGATCTGATGGCCCTTATAAAGCAACTGAGGGAACAGCTCTAAAACCAGAGACCTGTGCTTAGGAGGTGGAAAACAGAGCTCCACCACTCTCCGCATAGCTGTCATGGGAAGAGCTGCACAGATGGGTTAAAGGCAGGGGCACTGGAGAGACCAGGATACAAAGTATTCTGCAGCCACTCCAGCCTCCTTCCCTCCCCTTCTAAGATGTTCCAGCTAGACAGGTAAAGAGCCATCTAGCAAAAATACAGAGTAGAAGGCTGGGCAGGCAAAGATACTCTCTGCGGCAATGCTGGGTATTCCTAACAAATTAAAGTTTGCTCTGTAAACTAGGTTCTGAATTAAAGAGTAGCTTCTTTCCTCATCACTCTGGAGCTCAAAAACAAGGCAGGTGGTCATGCTTTCTCTTCCAAATTGCTTGCCACATCTCACATACACTTATCCTCCAGAGATGACCTTAACTGAAGTCACCAACACTCCGCATTGTTTAAGAAGGAAGTCTGTGATGTCTGAGTGAAAGTAAAGTCAAGTTTTGACAGGTTTTCTATTGTGGAAGAGTAGTTGCTATCCAGAACATAGTTCTGCAAACCTCCTAGTGGCTTGCATCATGTCATGAATGAACCATGATATGAAACACCTGCATAAGAGTTAATTAATACCTAATAGCATAAGGTCAAAAAACTGATACAACCGTCATACTTTGTACTCCAGAGTTTTATTTCCTGTCAGATTACTTTGCTTCAGCAAAATCCATAGACTCCCCTGATTTTTTGTTTGTTGCCAAGATTTGGCACATGCCATCCCAAGAATGGTGAAATGGTTAAGGGAATAGAACTAGGGAAAACTGGGTTTAGATCCTTACTAAAGCCCATATAATGACCCTGGTGGTCCAGTCACCATCACTCAGCTGCAACCTAACCAACCTCATTGCAATGCTGTAAGAATACAATTATAGAAGGAAGAATGACCATGTATGCTCTCCTGAACTCAGGAAGAACAGGATAGAAGTGCAGCCAAATGCATTTTTCCTTCTAAATTTTGCCACATGCCTTATATCTCAATTACTTAGGAGACTTTCTCCTGACATTCAGAAGCATAACTTTAGTTCACAGAATCATTATAATGCTAAGAACAGATGCAACAAGAGGATCTGTAGATCAGTGGTAGAGCATATGCTCTGCATGCAAAAATCTCAGCTTTAATCCCTGCCACATCCAGGTAGGGCTAGCAATCCTATTGAAACCCCCAAGAGCTGCTGCCAATCAACACTGACAACACTAGGCTAGATGGACCAATGAAATGGCTCAGCATAAGCAGCTTCTTTTGCTCCAATAGAATACACTGATACAAAACATTATTCTGTACAAACTAGTGGAAAGAATAAATAGACCATGATTATCACTGCCATTTTTCTTAGTGTTATGTGCTATGGAAATCTTGTCCTAGTCTAGGAATGCAGTGCAAGCTGAGCAGTTGTTTTGCAGTTCTAATATGACATTTTTCAAGTAGTACTCATTTTAAAAACTTTATTTTGTAAAGTTAACACAGAACTTTAAAAACACAATTAATACGTAACATGCATAAGCCAACAAAAAAGTATCCTAGCAGCAAATTTAAAGATGAAATAGTATAAAGGGATAGCAAGGTTATTCATACAAAGTGTAACTCTATAAATAAATGGTAATCATTAGCACATTATAGTTGTGTTCCTTTTTTCACTCAAGAAAAAAGTTATCATGGAGATACAAAAATCAGTTTAAGTGCAACAGACAAAATTTTAAAAAATCCTTTGGGTGTTAGGAATTTTTGAGTAGCTTAAGAACATTCCCTGGCTGGAACAAAATAGTTTTGCTTTCTGTTGTAAACTGGGCTAGTTGGGTCAAACATTGTTTCAATCCCTATAACAATAAAGGTGAAAATTTGGAAGTTAGAAGTTCATAAAAAGGACATGTTAACACCTATCTTTCCAATGATTAATGTTGCTGCAGTAAATGTATGCTCTCAGTATCAAATGTGATGTTCATCTGTCTCACAGTCAAACGTTAACACTAATAAGGCTTAGAAAGATTCTGTAGAGAAGTCTTGTGCTCAATAGAATGGTGAAAAAATAATGAATTTCAAGATTCTGATCTTTGCCAATGGACTGTATCCCTGAAGACCAATCCTATGTATTTTTCTTGGGAAGCAAGTCTCAGATAATTGAACATGTCTTACTTTCAGGTTATTGAAAACCAAATCATGTTTAAACAAGACCAATCTGTAAAATATGAAATACTACTACTTTAGCTAAGTAGCATCTACTTATGCATCTACTTATTTATTTCAGTGCTAACATTACATGCACGAATGAAATAATAAAGCAAGTTAAATTAAATGATCCACTGTATACTTTAGAAAGTCTGGCTTTCAACAACTATTCAATTCTGTACAGTCCAAACAATGATTTTTTAAAAAAAATATCAACTATTGTTCACAGACATTGCTTCTTTTCATGATTTATACCAATACCTAGTTCAATGGTATCACTTTGCAGCTTCCTTTCTCCTAGGCAGCTCAGTTATGCATGCTTTTAGTCTTTTCACACTTACAATGTGCTAAGCAGTAACACGCTATGCTTTTGTGGTACGATGTGCAATCTTCAGGCACAGAGGTCACCACAAGAATCACTACTCTGCACATTAACGGAAAATATGAAAAGAAAATGTTCAGTCACACACATGCCTTCTGTTAGTGTGTCCTTGTTACCATGTGAAGCTGCCCTTTGAATGCAAGTAGCAAAGGCATACACGGAAATAACCCCATGAAATACATCACATGCATTTCCCATTGCCTTACACAGAGGGCACCCACTCTATTACTAGACATCATATAGAACAAGCTTATGAATGGGGAAGACAGGTAGTACATATGTATTGATGGCACTGCATTATGGTCTCCTATTTAAACTAACACACAAGAGTTAGCAGATAAACAAAAATAACTATAAAGATTAAATCTCAGGTTTTTAGGGAACTAACCACTTGCTCTACCCATTTCTATCAACAAAGGCAGATAGTTGAATAAGGTTTTTTTTAAAAAAAAGGGTGTCTGCAGAAAAAAACAGTACTTTTTAGATGCTAGCTCTTTAGAAAGAATGTCATATTTGTCTAATAGTAAGTTATTATACGCTTTCTTGAAAGTTAAGATAGAGGCACTCGCGTAAGCTTAAAACTTTACATTGGCATGTTTGCCAATGAAACAGATGTGCCACTCATAGCTGCAAACCCAATATAGCAACCCACAATAGTTTAAAAATAATATTGCACAGGAGTGGTGCATTTCAGTGTTTGAAAACTAATGTGTGGCAAGTCCTGAATATGCTTGCTGTGTGCTAATAGCTATATTTTGCTCAAAAAGTAATTACTAAGTGATCCTTTGTCCAGCTACAAGTAATTAAGCTCAGAACTAACAATGTTCAGGCAAAGAAGAAAAAAACAAGCTCAAAGCTATAGATGAATAGCTATGCGAAATTCAGCATAGACTCATAAGAACTGCAAGGACAAAAGGAAAGAAAGGGGGAAAGACACATTCAGGGAAGGGAGAGGACCCAAATGTTCCTTCCCTAATCTCTGGAAACAATGGGTTAGCTCCAGACTTAGAGGAGACCTGTTGAAACTAGCGGGAAATGGTCATGACACAAATGGGTCAAAAGTAAATATTACTAAATCATGAACCAAACCCTACAAAAATGTTGCTTACATATTTCCATACAAAGTGAGAGCTAAAGATGTTTTAAAGGTGAAAAATACAGTTTTTAGTAAGCCAAGCCAACTCCAGGTTCAGGATGGTGTTCACCAATGCCAAACCTTACTATAAGCCTATTCAAAAACTATGGCATCCTAACATAAAGAAAAAATAGTCATTTTCCTTAAATTGCCTACTCTGCAGTTTTACTCAGAAGAAAGAAATGTGTATTGGAAAAGCAATAAATCCATGATCTAATCCATGAGGTCTTACTTCTGTAGAAGTTCCCCATTCTTTTCTCTCCACTTGATTGGGCTGTGTATTATCAGAATTATTGGCCAGAAGTGGAATGCTATCCAACTTCCCTTCCACTTCTATTAAAAATGTAAAACATCAGGGACATGTTCTAGCCTATTTCAACAAGGACAACTTATAGTAATGCTTAATTCTAGCATTCAAATCAATGAGACCCAACTGGGCTTAACTTTGAAAGGATCATGCATTGCTGATAGTGAATGGGTTAAGGGCACAATCCCATAATGTTTAGCCAGATTGTTTTTTTTTTTTTTTTTTTTACAACTCTCAACATTCCCAGAATGTAGGGAAATGTGGGGCTTTTAAAAAAAGAGGAAAAAAGCCAAGCATTTTTAGGATGATGACCCAATAATATATTAATCAGGGAATTAATTGGGAATTAAATATTCCCAAGAAACTTGTTCTCCTGGGAAAGATTTTCAAACAAGAAAAGGGAATATATATTGAACCAAAAGGTACCAGTAATTCTGTTTCACTCTAGGAAATCATATTACATAGGCTCAAACTGAGCAGAATTCAAGAACATTAGCTATTCAAATAGATTAAAAAATCCAGTTACCTGAGACAGCTTTGAAGTTGAACTTAAGAAGAAATAGAAATGCCATGTTCAACAAAACCCCTCTCAAATGAAGCATTATTTGCAAAGCAACGCCATCTATAGACAAATAAGTGTATAATTTTGCTCTTGGGAGTCCTGCAAATTTTCTCTGAAGAACTATAGTATTGTTAGGGATATGTATATGCTTTTTCTTTATATCCATGAAGTATCTCAAATATTCTTGTTTTCAGGAATTAGTGGTATTCATGGAAGGCTGACTGGAATGAGCATCCAAATGCAGATGCTACACTTTGCTTTCACTGGGAAATACATCTGCATTCTTGACCTACCCACGTGCCCAACTAGCTGGGTAAGGTTTGTGCATCCAGCCAGTAATTAAAAGAAAATTGCCTAAAAGAAAATAAATTACATAGAATCAGGTAGAAAGTGGGTTCAGGATAATTGTCTGCACCAGCAGAACTATGACATCTTCACTGGAAATTAAACTTGTAGGATTACATTAGCATACATAAGTACACTGGAAATAAATTTATACCAAGGATTCAGGCCTAATAAATAGGATATATATGCATACATATTTAAGATTAAAGCCAGAAATTAGACCCTTGGGTCTGACCATACTTGTTTGTTCATTTACCTGATACCAGGTATCAGGTAATGTGGGATGAAAAGGATTCAGAGAAAGTATTCTAGAGTATTCTTTTAGCACTGGGCAATATTTAGCAATTCAGCAATGTGGCACCTTCCTGCCATCTCCCCACCCCCAGGAGTTCAACAACTTTTAGATACAAACTCCTCTAATACTTGAATCAGCCACTGTTTGTTGTACATGGTTGCATTCTGCAATAGATTGTCATTGTACAATACAAAAACCATTACATAACATTGCATGTGCATGAATAGAAAAATAAACCACATCACTGCTATGCAACTGTAATACTCCACACTTAGAACCAAGTAGCCTTCTCAGTGGTCTTCTGACTTGATAAGCTGATGGGTAAACCCATCAGGCAAGTAAGCTTTCCTTAGCTGATCTGCCTTAGGTATGGAGTTCCCATTCTTCACATGGCGAGAGAGGAAAGCACGTACAGCTGGATGGTCAGCCTTTTCAAGGGGAATGCTAGCTTCCAGAAACATTTTTACAAAGTCCTGAATGACACCAGGCTTCTCTGTCTGGGCTGTACTGTTGCACTGCAGAGAGGCAGTCAGAGTCCGTGGCTTCTTCCTGACACTTTGCTCTTCAAACTCCCCCTTGCGTTTAGTGTGAGTTTTGGATTTGAGATGATCATTGATTGCAGATTTGCGGACATGATTCAAGACTACATTGCAGAAAGTGCAATACAGTTTCCCCCCATCTTCATACAGTTCGCTGCCAAACTCTGTTACACGATCCTGAGGAGTCACATACAAAGCCGTCTTAGAACGACTCCGGGAGGGAGGTGGCTTCACATCAAATCGCTCCATTGCCGTCTTCTTTTAAAAGAAAGTGAGAGATGTGTTAAACTTACATTCACATTCACTCTGTAGTCTCAAATATATAGTTAAGTAACCACAAAATAAATTATGTTCCTACACCAAATGTCCTGATAATATACATACCAACTAATTACGTAACACAGAACACAACAAAATATGCTACATAGTTCTGCAGGCAAAACAAATTGTTTATCACAAGACTTGTATACCACACCACAGCATTTGAAAGGAGCAAAATCAAGCAAAGCATCTTACTGGAAGAGGCCAGAGTAGCAGTTTTTACAGTGTCCCTATGCCTATGCTATTCTAGAAAACCTCCAGAGCAGATTTCTAGGAATGTAGGTGGCTACCAGGGGTGGCTGGGTGGGGAGATTATCAAAAATTATCTCCTCTCCTCCATCTACATAATCAGTCAGTTCACAGAGCTCCACTTCACACAACAGTGACTCCATCCCATTCTTTGATTAGAAAGAGTCATGTGTGAGCAATACATGGCACACTAGACACACATGGCTCATGGGCTCTTGTTGAAACCTAGTTTTTCTGAGTTAAAAACCAAACAAACTTAAGCCTCACAGACAGCAGTTTAACTGTATTGGGTTGCAACCTTTGTTTCTATCCTATACAAACAAATTTGGGTGATACCACATGAAAAATACAGAATGATGGGAAGGATAAAAAAGAAAGGAAATATTAAAAACACACACATTCATTTTGATTGCTACCTTTCATTACCTAATCCAAAGATCAAGATCTTCCCAAACTAATACATATTTCTAATAAATATTCCATAGTGTACAGTGATATGCAGTTATCTTGATTAAGAATATGACACATGTTAATTATTTGTAGCTGCAGTTATAAATTCTAACTGCGGTCCTTTGAGCAAGTGCTTGTCATTGCTCTGTTTGGAGTCCTACGTCTAGATATTTGACCCAGGTTTGCTATAGCAAGGCTTTCAGAGAATTAGAACTCAGAAACTTAGTTCTTGTTCCCATTTGCAGTTGAGAAAGGACATTTCACTGCACTTTTGAACATTTGAACTGTTTAAGTATTTTCTGCCAACAGTTGACACTTCCTGTGAGTTTAGAACACACAGGACTTTACTAGACATGACAGCAGACATCTATTTTTAAACCAGTTCATGTATAAAGCAGAATTTATTAATTTATCAACTACACATCTGTACCACCCAATAACCAAAGCTCTCTAGGTGGTTTACAAAGGCTAGGGCTAAAACAAATCTGTCCTCAGGAGTAAAAGTCTGAACTAATGCTTGTCCTCTGCTTATTTTCCTGGAATCCACTACCCCAGGCACTTTCCTCTGTTCTCTGGATGTGGAGCCTAGTTGGGGGAGAAGCAAAAACAACAGACTACAGAGAAATAAATCATCAGATGGGGTGGGCAGGATTCAGTAATTCCCTCCCCATTTTCTATATGATTAGAATAAATACATCTTAAAAACATAGATAACCTGCGGCTATCTTATCTGCTTTTACCCTAAAACTGAGTAAACTGTAGGATTGTTTCACAATGATAACTCTTCTGAGGAAAAGCATAGCTATTGCTGACAAAGACAAAGCATTAGTTCTTCTACTGCACTGTTACATTCAGTTAAGTGTTAAGATAGGTATCTTTGCTGCAGCTGGACCAAAATTCAGCCTTAAGTCAACATATATAAGACAGCATTTAGATGTGCTTCAGACAGAGCCAAATACCCAACCAACTTTCTGTTAGTTTTGAAAAACCAGTAGTGCTCTTAAGCAGATGCACACTTCTTCAGTATTAGTCATGTGAAAAATATTGCAAGATACAAATTATGACTGATCATGCAAGTGTATGCCTGCATTTCTGTTATCACAGCCATTACTGATTTAACAAATACAAAATTCTATACAAGCTTACTCAGAAGCAAGTACTTCTTAAACAGCTATGATTACATGCACATTACTTTAGAGTAAGCACCAATACATGCAATTTGCTTCTGAGTAACCAAAAATTACTCAGTAATCTTCATAGCACACCTCAAAATGATCTAGCATAAGTGCATTATTGTAAGAATGACTGACCAAAGAAACCCCAGAAACAAAAACAAAAAAAAGACCTACAACTTGCAAGGTTCCTCAGCCAGCCATGTTGGCTGGAGAATGCTGGGAGTTGTAGGACATTTCCCCCCCAAGGATGCATAGGGTTCTCCTTTAAGTTATTTCTGGGTTGTTCCTAATTTTGACTTGATGACGATGATGATGATTTTCAAAGCTCCTGGAAATAACATTGTAGCATCAAAAGCATTGCTAAACATTTTACTGAATTGATTTTATTGGGCTAATGAAACAATACATACTGTACTGGGAGAATGAATAAAATGATACTGCTTTTTGTAAAGTTTGATAAAAAAAAATACAAACCCAACTAAAGGGGACCAATATAGTACAAGACCCCCATATCCACTGGTTCAACTACCATGTTTCCAATTAACCACTGCTGACCTAAGCCTGAAAGAGAATTTGTAAAGTGCCAGAGAGAAGTTGTAAAGTGCTTCCTATAAGCGAAAATTCTTGATTTAATAAGGAAAAGAAAAAAATTGCATGCTGAGGTAAGAGCAAAAGAAATTGTGAAAAAATAAATGTATATATAGTATAGCAGTGGTGGTGAACCTATGGCATGCATGCCACAGCGGGCACGCAGAGCCCTCTGTCAGCTTGCGAGCCAAGTTGCCCCTGCATCACCCCAGCAGCCGAGCATCGGATAACAGCGCACCTAGGGGCCATGCGCATGCTCAGAAAGTAGTGGTGCCAGGCAATGATGTCACGAGCCACAACTCATTAGCCACGAATCATCAGAGCTTCTGCATGGTCACTGTGCTGCCAAGGGTATATACATATATTTTCTTGGACTGGCTGTGAGTTGTTTTTTCTAAACTAAAACCACAGTATTCAGGTTTTATTGCAGTGTTGGCACTTTGTGATAAATAAGTGGGTTTTGGGTTGCAGTTTGGGCACTCAGTCTCTAAAAGGTTCGCCATCACTGTAGTATAGTATAGTGCTTGTTATTATCCACAGTTTCAGGCATATGCTAGGGGGCTTGCAACCAATTTGTGCGGATATGGGGGTCCTGCTGCATATGGTTTTTGAGCAATGAAGTATGACCCCTACTGTCGTATTCTGACTCCAACATTAGCAGATGTACAAATCTTACTTGCTACACATGAGTAGAAAGGGAAATTTCCAAATGTTTCTCAGGCAGTTATATTAAAAGGAAAAGGAAGCAAGTGGGGAAATGATACCTGTTTTGACCTGGTTTGCCAAGAGTACTACTGGAGAATTTGCTTGAGTATTCTGCTTAATATTAGTGTTCTGCTTAACATCTCTCCAAAATTTATGTAGATTTACCTATTTAAAATTCTTTCAAAACCCTATTCTTTCAAAAACAGTACATAGTAACTTAAATGTAAAATAAAACCAATACCAATAACATAACCATACAATATACTTTTACAATTAAAATACACAACAGTAAAACCCCAACCTACGAGCACCCAAACCAACATGTTAGGAGGCAAATGTTTGTGTAATTAAAAGAATCTTCAATCTACCATTAAAAACTGGCACACTTGAGGGTTAATTGTGCTTTAAAGACCATACTTAAAGTGCATTATGGTGTGATCCTAAGCCCAGGAATCATGTCTTGCTGAGGAAAGCTGGGAGTTGGAGGGCTTTTTTCTGTCCAGCCATGCTTACGATTGCACTTTAAAGCACTTCTATGTCTACTGTGCTGTGCTGCAGGTAGCAGAGGGATAAATTTTCCTTATCTCAGGTTCACAAGCCTGGGTAATTTAACTTGTGTACAAAAGGCACAATAGTGATTCAAGAAATACTTCACCCCACGTATTCTATCCATAAACTTCTAGTGTTTTTGGATCTTCGTGTGGTTCAAACCATTCAAACATTTTGATAGATGTCTCATACTCATAATTCCACTGTTGTATTAGCCAGCTGTTCTTGATCACCATCCTTTTTAGGTGTGATCCACCTTGCCATATTTGTGAATCATACAGGAATAATGGCATCTATTTGAACATCATCTACCTATCACTTGATCCAACAACTTGCACATTGAAAACACTCCATGGGTTAATTCCTGGTATATTTAACACGTTAGCATCCATAAAAGTAGGACTTGTTTAACAGCACTACTTTCATCCCTGTATATGTCTATCTGGAGATGTCAGCAACATGCCTTCTTTGGCAAACCCTGAGTTATTAGTCTTCTAAGACACATTGCCCCAAGGACTTAGTTGGCATTGCCTCTGTGAGTCCCACTACATACATTACCTCCTGGAACTTCATATATAAAGAACACCCAAATTACCAGTCATCTGTTTGGAGCATTTGCTCAATATGTAAAGTCATCAATACAGAGTAAGGGGAAAGGTGAAATACCTGAAGAGGAGCAACACTGCTCTAACAGCAGATGAAGAATTTCCCACCAAAAAAATTTACACACATTTTACAAAAATTGACAGAGAGTAAAGGATCATGCTGTGGATCAGAGAGAGAATACTCTTGCTGTATGCGAACTCTTTCAACCTCTCTCTCCCTTCCATATAAGCACAGCAGCAGCAGACAGAGATCACCACGTTACCAGTGCATGTTCTTAGTACGGCTACTCAGAATCATGTGTCCCTCAATGCACTTAAATTATGCTTTGATAATAACAGCGGCTGCAAAGAATTATTTCAAGTCTTTTAATTAATTTATTTATCTCCATTTTGCCCAACAGCCAAAGTTCTCTGGGCAGTTTACCACAGCACATTAAAAATACAATAAAATACACCATGTTAAAACATAATAATGTATGCTTGTGGGCAAAATGGGAACTTGAATCTGTGTTAGTACCAAACTGGGTAATTATTCTGAATGAACTAATCCAGAGGGTATGATTGTGTACCTGATATGTTTAACCTAACTGGCCAGATGGCCTTGGATAGATGTGATGCCCCCACTTCCCAAAAGCAAGAAGTAGACAGAGGCACAATCGTATGCTTTCTTGATAGAATCCTACAATTCCCAGCATTCCCCAGCTGGCCATGCTAGACTTTTTTCTATCTAAATATGCACAGGATTGTGCCTTAAGTTAACTAGCAAGGAACCTGTCTAATCATTTTTATCCTGCATTTCTACAACATGGCATGGCACCTGTTCCTGGATCTGAAGCAGAATCATAGAATATCCTTATCCACACTCTTCTTCACCAAGGCACTTCTCTCCTGATTTGGTCTATTAATATCCCATCATATCTCCTGAAAACCGTATTTTTGGATTTGGAAGCTCTGTCGAGTTCCCAGATAACACTACGGTTATCCAACAGTGAGGGCAGACCAGTCTGTCTGTAGTCTAAAGCTCATTTTTATATTCTGTGGCTGAACCTTGCATCCCAGCTGAAAAATTTTTTACTCAAGTCTTTTTTATGTTGTAGTCTGTAGGTACAGATACGAATTGTGACTAGACAGTAGATTTAGGTTGTCTGCCTATTAAAACTAGGAGGTCATCTGATGATGCATGCAATGGCTTTATATTTTTTGTGCTATGGGGTTGCTACAAGATGCTGGATTTTTGCTTTCCACATGGCAGTTTATGGGGAAAAATATGAGCTACAATGAGGCACTGCACTGTTGTAGTTATTAGATAAAACCACAAGGAATTGTGTAGATTCAACTTTTTTCTTTCACACCAACCTTTGCTTTACCACCTAAGAGAGTGAAATTTCAAATGAAAGGAATTATTTTTAGTTTGAAGAAGTACAAAAGAATTCACACATTTTCCTATTTTCTCTATAATTATGAGAACTATAAGCTTTTTGGAAAGTGCAGAATTTGTGTTTAATGATGGCTTACTAAGTGGAAAGCCTGATCCATGGTAATATTTAGGCTTCTGTGTTATGAAATCATTTATTACATTTCTATACAATTCAACAGCTTTCCGGCAGGGTCACAAAACAAACTTAAAACCAAATAATACAATATAGTACTATTGCATGTTTAACACAGAATGAAGTAATACTGTGTGGGGGAATCATTTAATAAAGGACAGCCTTGAACAAATCACTTGTATTCTTGACTATCCTACCTCAGACAGATGCTGTAAGAATAAAATATTATCACAAACTATTGCAAGAATGGGACAGTTCTAGTGCAACTGTCTGCATTTTTACTCAGAAATGAGTCCCGTATTGCAACTTATACTGTGGTATGTGCATAACAAGTTGCTGCCTAGGTCTAACTTATGTTTTCTCGAAAGTTAGTTCCACTGTGTTTAACTGAGTCTACAATCCTGTGCATCCTTACCTAGGAATATGCTGCACCAAAAATGCCCCTAAGACTGCACTGTTGAACTATCAATTGCATCCTTGGTGAATGGATGCCCCCAAATCAAGATGTGTCCAAACATTCAGTGCAGGACAGGAAGAACGGCAGGCACAATATCATCTACTCACTGTGCACATTTTTTGCCTGTTTGGTGAGTGTGTTTCAGAGGGGAAGGGAAAAGGCCCTGAAGAGGCTCAGAATAACTTCTGCAACTTGTCAGGTCTTCTCTCCCTCTGCACCCACTGGGACATCCACTTTTTCTCCTCTCAGAGGTTAAGTTTCCAAAATCAGAGAGGCAGCTGCCTGCAAGGGGAGCTGAGGCTGGATCTCTTCCCCCTTCTAAGATCAAAGCATTGTCCCTGATCTTAGAAGGGTTTAATGACACTTTCACAGGGACCACAAGATTGCTTTCCAAACTGTGATGTAGGTTAGCACATAATCTGAACATTCTCAGATTCATAGATTCTTCACACCACCCACTTCAAGGAAACATGCACATTTCTGTAAGCGTGTGCCAAACTCACTTTCCCTTCCCAGCATCAACAGTTTCTTGGTCAACCCTTAAAAGAAATTTATATTTCTCCAACTGGGTAACCTCATAATTTTCAGGGAAAGGTTTCTTCACCAGATAATCCATTTACACTTTATGCACCTCTATATAGGTTGCTCTGAGGCAAAGAAAAGGGACCATTATAACCAACCCTGCTGAAAACTACCCCCATGAAGGCTCCTACTCCCGCAACTGTCATCACCAGCAGCCATTCCAGCAAGCTGTGCTGAGGAAGATGGGGGGGGGGGGGAGATAGGGCCAATCCACCAGCCCTACGAGACGAATCAACCCCCACCCCAAAATTCCTTTTTCCATGTGGGTTGAGTCTTCTCAGGTGGTAAGCCTGTGGGCAGGGACTGTACTGTTTACTGATTACACGTAAGCCCCTTCAGGAGCTTTCTCTGATTCAGAAGAGCGGGATGCAAGATTTCAAATAAACAAACACACAGGCACGCACGAAGAGTGAGCGGCAATGCGTGTCCTCAAGTCGCCTCCCTGCCAGGCCCTCCTTCAGTTCTGCCTCCCGCGCCTCAGACGCTCTTTTCCCACCACCCCGCGAATGCTCTCAATGTCCCCGTCCCTGCCATTTCTCGAACGCCCCCCATCTTAGCCACTCTCTGCCCAGCCGCTTTGCTCACAGCCTAATGTTGTGCTTCCGCCCTTCTTCTTTTCCTCCCCGCTCATGGGTGGCGAGGAAGAGGAGGGCAGTGCTACTGTCGCTCCCGACGAGACCTCTCCCTTCTCCCCAGACTCATCCTTACAGCTCCGGACAGCACAGCGCTCTGCCCCCGCAACAGCCAGGACACAGCTTCGGCCTGCTCCGCGCTTCACCCGCCAGGCTCCGCGACGGCGCGGAGCAGACTCGGCGGAGCCGCCTGCCAGACAGACGGACCGAGGGGGCGGGGGGGAAGGATGGCTGAACGGAGTTGTTTCCTCCCTCCGGCTCGTCAAGGAAGGCGGGACGTCGGCTGTAGCAACACCATCGCCAATCAAGGCGTTGGTAAGAGCGAGAGGACTCGTGAGAGGGGACGAAAAGCGAGCGCCATTCTCTGTGGCTGATAGTGAGGAGAGTGACAAAGGCTTTCACCAGTCGCTGAGGAGAAAGGACGGAAGTCGTCTGGAAGCGGCGACCCTCTCACAAGGAGAAGGCGGAGATGTTTACTTTGAAGGATGAAATGTGAGTCCAATCGGCAAAACAGGGGCGTGGCTTACTGATTTTGATCGATCCGATTTCTTACCAATCAAAAAGTGACTCTGAAAGTTTAGCGACGAATGGGGAACGGCATTTTCCAATCGGATACGAGAGAGCAGAAGCACTGTTGAAATGAAGATGTTGGGAGGGCTGGAGGGTGAGGGCTCAGCAGTTGATTGGCATGCGAACTCACCAATACGAGCGTGTGATGGGGTGGTGCCGGAACTGAGGAACGCGAGTGGAGGGGTGGGCTATCCGGGCGATCGGGGCGGGGGAGAGAGCTGGAGCTCGGTACGCGCAGGGCGGCCGGAGCAGCATGGCGGAAGACGAGAGCGATCAGGAGTCGGAGAGGCTCGGCGAGGAACTCGAGGCCATAGCGGCGCCGCGACTTCCCGCCGGCTTGTCTCCTGCTCTGAGCAGCCAGTATTATTGTTACCGCTTCTGCCAGGTGAGCAACTGGCCCTGCCCCCTTTAAGCTGACAACTGGGGGGTTGGGGGAGAGTGAGGAGAAAGACGGTCGAGAAGAGATCTGCGAGTGCGTCTGCCGGGGACGGCTTCCCTTCCCCCACTCGGGATGGACCCGCCGCTGAGGGGCGACCTGAGGGACGAGCCTAGAGGAGTGGGGGGGTGTCTTGCCTTACCCGCCCGTCCTTTAATGCTCTCCCACCCCCGCCGCCCAGGAGGAGTGGGCGAGAGCTGAAGGAGAACTCGCCCGTTCTCCCTTGCGGAGGGGGTGAGTTGCTCGCGCTGACCAGGGTTTTCACTTCACGCATCTCTCCTGTCGTCGTCATCTTATTTTTGTTATAAATCTCGCTGCCGAGTCGGAGCGTGACCTTAATTTTCCTCTCAGGTGGTTTTGCCTCACGTCGTTGCCGGGTGGGGGGCGTGGGGAGGGGGCTGGGGAAAGGGGCTCGTTCCCTCCGTCTCTACCTTCTTCCTCCCTCGAGCTCTCTCTGATCGCGCAACCGTTTTCGTGGAGGAGGTGGGCGAGAGTCTCTGTGTGAGGGTATGGTTTGGTATTCCTGTCAGACTAGGAGCCGGGAACTATGTGCGAATACCGAGGCAACAGGGAAGACTGCCCTGATCTTTTTCGGTAAAGCTTTGTTTTTACACTCGTAGCTTTGTCCTTTTTGCTTGTCGGAAAAATGGGTTCCAGAGACGCCCATGTCCGTGAATTCGTGTTGTAGAACTTGTGGCGAACAGCTCGGGAAGGCCTAGTTTTAAGTGGGTGGGAGGGGGAGACCTTGCTTTTGCTGGTTTGGACTTTGTCTATTAACAAGGGAATGGCTGCTTGGGTCTAACTATTAAATGTGCTAACTTGGCTGTTGTTTGTGTCTTATGACACTTCAGAACAATCTGATGCATGTTTGGAAACAAGTCCTGTTACATTCAGGGGAAATTATTTCTAGGGAAGCAGCTCTGTGTATTTCAGAAAAGTGAAATATGTCTTTACAAACAGTTGGCTTAAGCAAAGAATAAAGGGCTTGGCATTGTGTAATATTATGCTGGTTTCTTCACATTTCTATTTCTGAGCATTGTTCAATGAGGTATTTGCTAAAATTTGATAATTTCCTGTCCTAACGTTTGTCAAGCTCATAACTTTAATGATATACTTTAAATTGTCTGTGGAATTCTCACTTAATGCTTAATCATTATGGAGTACATAGAAGTGTTGGCCTACTTCTAATAATGTTTGTAGTAGATTATTGAGATAATGTATATGAAGATGCATGGCTGGCTGGCTGTCTGTCTGGTGAATGCTGGGAGTTGCAGGAGGTTTTTCTGTGTAAACATGCATAAGATTGTATTCTGAAATGATTTGAATATGCTGCATGGGACTAAGTGTTGCTACGTAGTTTGCATTTTGTGCCATGTTTCAGAATTTATTATATGATAATGCAAAGTCAATATTTTGTTTAAAGCTTGGGCTCTACGCTTTTTTTTAAAGTTGCTGTGATACTTGGTTTGCAGTTTGCCACCCTTGTGCATCCTTAAAATTATTTAGACAGCAATCCTGTGCCTAGTTATCTGGAAACAAAATGCAATATACTCAGTTGGACTTCTTAGTAGACATGCTTGGTATTGTGTTATGCTGCATCGTCATTCATACAAAGTTAATGGAAGTTCACACTGACAATCCAGGTCATTTTGTTAGTATATTGCATGTCTGACTTGTAGAATGTAATCTTGTAATTTATCAGGTGTTCTGATAGTTGTATAGTGTGATGCTTGGGTAGAAACCACCATAAAGGCCATATTTGGGTGCTTCTCACAGTTTCTCCCAATAATGTACAGATAAAAAATTTGCAAAAGCCTATGCTTGGAGGAAGACTTTTGATAGAAGCTTACTTGCAAACATCTCATTTATATTAAATCTCAAGTGTTACTATGTGTAATATCAAGTCAGACTTAATAGGACTGAGAGGGATTCCTACAGAGGCACAATCTTTGTTTCACTGTTCTTCCTTGCCCTTTCAACTCCCTGAATTCTACACAGTGAAATGTCAAATCTCACCTATTCCACTGATGCTACATTCCTGTGCACACTTCTCTGGAAGTAACTTCTATTAAACTCAGTGAGCCCTCACTTCTGATTACAAATGTATAGGAGTACATTTCATGAGGCTGCATTAGATAGGAAAAAATGGAATCTGAATGCTAAAAGTTGAAATTGTAAGTAAGCATCACTGATAACTTTTAGATGTTCTTCCAAAACCATGTGTTTGAAGGTTGAATAGAAATCAGTTAAACCTAACTTTCTTTACCTAATCTTTTTTTTTAAGTCTTAGGTTCCCCCTTTCTCTTTAGTCTAGCAATGGTGATTCCCCTTGTACTCAGGATGACCTTCAGTTTTTTCCCTTATCTAGTACCTGTTTTCTAGATCTGTTTTTAGAAAATTTGCAAATTATTGTTTTTCCTTTTTGTTGGTCTTCTATGAGGAGGCATGGACTGTTTAACTGTTTTGATTAACGGAAAGTTTATTGCAAGTTTATTTTTGTATCTTCATTGTTTGTTATCCCATTGACTTGTTCGTAGCTGACTTTGAATTTAAAAATTATTTGATCTGAAGTTTAAAATAATTAAGGTTATGGATTGAAAAATGTGTCACTATATTTTTATTCAGGATAAAGTGATAGTCTAAACAGTCTGAACACTTTACATGTTTTAATACTGTATATGTGGGTGTATGCTTATTACAGAAATGGGTGTGGTAAAGGATGTTTTTTGAGTGAAGTTTTTCATAATACACATTTTGACAAGCAATCCAGTTTAAAAACATCCTGGACATATAGATACCTTGAACTTGAAGGGGGAGATAGGGCCAGTAGGAGAAAAGCAAATACTGAAATAGAACCAAAAGTCATGTGCTGTGCAAGGTTATAATTCCTTTTCCCCCTGTGACTTCTGAGTTTAATTGTTGTATATTATGCAACTCACATTTCCAGTTTTGATGCTGATTTTGCAATTGGATGTTGTGTGACAAACCAGTTTTAAGTTAGCAATGCCTGTAGGTGGCAATGTCTGTAGGTAAAGGATATTCATATTCATTGATCAATCTCTGCAAAATTAAGATTAGAAACTGGTGTTGTAGCCTTGTGACACTTCAGTTTATATCATCATATATCTGATCATATATGAAAACCAATTTCCTATTTTATCATATATAGTGTAATTGGATGATATTTTCTACTAGCACCAAAATACAGGAGGGTAACTTTCAGTTGATACATTTGCAAAGAGTGTATGCTGGGAACCTGAGACCCAACTTCTTCAGTATCCTAGGTTAAATTGTCACAGTACAGGCTTTAGTTCTTTGTGGTCTGTTAAACACTTGCTCTGTAAGGACTGTTTCAAGGCATGGTGCTGGAGAAACCAAAATATGTAATTTTGTAAGGCTGCCTGAACTAGCTGATGGGGCAGCGGGGGGCAGGGGTGAAGTTGTCCTTAGATGATGATATATACTAAAAGAAATGCCAAGTTGTTCAGAGTTGCATATATCTGAGGTCAGCTAATTCATACCTGATATTTTAATATCTGCCATCTCAAAACTGCTTCTTTTCCATCTCTCCTCCCGAGGCTGATACTGTTGGGGTAGGAGTTGTGTAATTCAGCTGTTTTCTCTTGGTCACAACTCCTGTGGGCAGTATGGTGGTGTCAAAAATGGCAATAGATTACTGAAAAATTGATGTTTCTGGGGGGGAAATGCCTATCTACTATATATAGGTTTTTTTCCTAATTAGTCTCAACAGAGCTATCCAGGGGGGAAATTCTTCTGATGCAAATGGAATCCGGATATAACTTATTCTCTGTGCTCTTATGTGATGCTCAAGCCACAGCATTAATTTTATGGAAATTAATAGTGCTCAAAAAGCCAAAAATAACTGGATTTGGGCTTCTTTGCTATTATTATACTAGCACTGGCCCTGCTCAGTGGTAATTGTCATGTTTTCTCTAGGCAATAGGCTCATAAATCCACAGGTTTCTCTTCATCTGATTCTTGACCAACAGATGACAACACTTTAGCCCCTGCAGCAGGTACTACTTTTACAAGGCAGTCCTATTTTTAATTAAACAATATGAGTATGCACTAGCACAGAAATTAGGTGCATGTAAAAAGTTTTATTTTTTTAGAGGAGTACATGGGATGCACATTCAGGCAGCTGAAATCTAATATATTGGATGTACTTGTTTATCTATAGTAGTTTCCAGTGGAGAGGCTCTTCCAGAACATTAGAAGATGTCTTATACTTAGAACTGGTCATTCTAACGCAGTATTACTTACATTGACATTCTCTGGGGTTTCAGGCAGGCATCTTTCTCAAGCCTTACTTGGAAATGCCAAGGATTGAACTTGGGATCTTTTGTATGTAAAGCAGATGTTCTGTTGCTATGATCTGACCCTTCCTCAATTGTCACCTGACTACAAGGTTAGCAAGGCTGGTAAGTGAAGTCCTAGGGCCCTATACAATTTGCTTTGGCAAAACTCTGAATGACAGTTCATTGCCTGGGCAAGGCAAATACACAGAATCATCTAAGGGGGACAAACTGAACTGTTCATCCCCCAGTGTACACCTATTTGCAGATCCAAAATATTATCTGAGGGTCAGTGGAAAGGTACTGAGTTCAGGTGGGGGGAAGAGAGAGGGAGGATAGGGGTTAGGTAAGGGATCAGAAAGAGGAGATAATATGTTAGTCATATTATCAAGTATCTCCTAGATTCATTCGCTTTGTTAATAACCAGGGTAAAGGATGCTATTAGAAAAGAAGACTTCCTTCAGAAAATGGAGGTCTTTCTCGTATGGGGAAAATAAAATGAAGCTCAAAATTCAGAGAGGTCCGCCTGGCGCCGTCGTTATTTGTTTTTCGGCGCCAGGCGAAGACCTTTTTATTCAAGAGGCATTTTAACTGTTAACATGATTGGTTTTATCTGGCCAGGGCGGCTTATTT